TGTGCCCCTCTCCCCTGCTCATGCACATGCATTCTCTCTCCCCCACCCCCACCACTCTCCCCCATTCACACACTCTCTCTCTCTCTAAAATTTATATATATATAAACACCTTTGGACTAATCTCATTTTAGTAAATATTTCATACATGGCTAAGTACTGCATGGAAACCAAAAGTGAACAAGTCCAAGATCCTGCTCTCAGGAAACATTTTTGTAGGCATGCACATTCAAATTCTGAATGTTATATTGTAAAGTGGAATTGAATGAAAATAACTTCTGGATGTGACATGGTACGCAGAGAAATACATTTGGAAGAACTTAGCCTTTCTTAATATTCCACCTATAATTTGATCAAGAAGAAACCATATAGTCGAGGGTAAAATTCCAGTTTAAAATTTTGCTAAAGAGGGAAAATTGATTCCAGGGAAGAACTGGCTGGTGAAGAGGAAGTTATGTAATCTATCTCTGGTAAGAGCCTGCCTCCACAGTTCAGGTCAGTGGAGGGAGGGAGGCAGGCGGACCCAGTCTAGTCTGTCCTGTGTCTCAACTGCAGGAACCAATTTCAGCAAAGTTTATAGAAACTTACATGCATGTATCTGGTGATCAGAAATTCTAAAAGGAAAGGGCAATCTAGGAAGAATGGAAGCCGATAATGCAATCTAGATTACCAGGAAGAGGAAAAGGGTGCCTAAAGGAGGAATTTGCATTGTATGGTTAGGTGGGAAGCTTGGTGCAGCTTGGGTAGAACCCTCCCATGGCCACTGATGAAAGGGAATTTGATGGCAAGTGACATGACTTTAAGAGCTCAGATAGCCAAAATGCCTATAAAAACTCATCTGTAAGTAGTTCTTTTTTTTTTTTTTTTCCTTCTTCCATGCCAGATCTTAAACTCCGTTAGGATTGGGAACCAAGTCTTTTTTTTGTTTGTTTGCCTCTGTGTAGCAAGTGCTTAGCACAATAAATATTGCTGAATGAAAGAGGGAATCTAGTAGAAAAGCAGGTGGAGTTCTACATGTGGACAGCAAAATCAGCTGTTCAAGTACAGGAAGAGCTTTGACTGCATTAAGAAAATTGCATTTGACCGAGGTTGCTGGGTTGGTAGTATGATGCGCCTACAGCAAAAACTAACCCCCTTCTTTGGTTGAATTCACAGATATGGAATGTCTTAAGTGGAGATTGTCACCACTAACCTGAAGGTTGTCACTACTAGTCCTGAACTGGAATACAGCCATTTCATCCTAACATCACACTTAGAAACTGCCACAGACCACATGGGGAGAAAAGCCCAAATTATGTCATAGGAGCGAGCTGAAGGAAGTAGGCACCTTACCCTGGAGATATAGAAGAGACTGTCAGTGGCTCTCAATCCTGAGCTGCATATTAGAACCCCTTGGAGAGCTTTTTAAAGATACCACTGCCTGGCTCCAGCCCCAGATCTTCTGATTTAATTGATCTGGAATGGGCTCCAGGCAATGGTTTCCTTTAAAAGCTCCTCAGGGGATTCTAATGTGCATCGAGAATTGAACCCTTGAGCTAGATGGCTGACCCATTAACTAATATTTATTTAGCAGTTGCTGTGTACCAGGCAGTGTGTTAAGCACATTTATATTCATGTACATAATCCTTATATTAAACTTGTGAGGTAGGTATTACAAAAGAGACAATGAGAAAGAAATCAAGAGGTTGTGAACTTTACCCATGACCACACAATTCTTTAAATGGCAGTACCCAAGCTGGGACTCAGATCTGCCTACCTTTTAGGGTCCATGATCCCTAAACCTCACTCCTCCTGATCACATATGAACAGCATTTTCTTTTTTAATTCTGAGTTCTGTCAGCAGTATTTAGACATGATTCCTTCAACATTATCCACGTTGGCAATTTTTTTAAGATTTTTTTTTTTTTAAGTAATCACTACACCCATTGTGGGGCTCAAAGTCACAACCCCAAGATCAAGAGTGTTATGTTCCACCTACTGAGCAGCCAGACACCCCTTAAAGATTTTATTTTTTTAAGTAATCGTTATACCCAGGGTGGGGCTTGAACTCACAACCCCAAGATCAAAAGTCACATGTTCTACTGACTGAGCCAGCCAGGTGCCCCTCACATTAGCAATTTTAAGAAGAGGCTATACCTTCTAGCTTTACTTTTTTGGAAAAAGGTATTAATCTTTTCATTTGCCCTGTCCATTAGAGTAAGTAAAGAAGTCCAGAGTTTACAGAATCACAAATCATTCACCAGAATGTTTAGTTTCAAACTTACTTCTAGGCCTGAAAGCCATAATCAGGATGTTTCTAGAAAGCTGTTAGCACAAAAACCTTTCTGGTTTTGCTTTATTTTCAAGCCTAAAGAAAATAAAGTAAGGGGAGCCTGGATGGCTCAGTTGATTGAGAGTCCAGCTCTTGATTTCAACTCAGGTCATGATCTCACAGTTCATGGAATTGAGCCCCCACGTCTGGGCTCTGTGATGACAGTGGGGGGGGCCTGCTTGGGATTTTCTCTCTTTCTCTCTCTGCCCCTCCCCATGCATGCATGCATGCTCTTGCTGTCTCTCAAAATAAGTAAACATTTTTTAAAAAAAGAGAAAATAAATTGGGCGCCTAGGTGGCTCAGATGGTTGAGCGTTTGACTTCGGCTCAGGTTATCATCTCATGGCTTGTGAGTTCGAGCCCCATGTTGGGCTCTGTGTTGACAGCTTGGAGCCTGGAGCCTGCTTCAGATTCTGTCTGTCTGTCTGTCTGTCTGTCTGTCTGTCTCTCTCTCTGCCCCTCCCCCGCTCACGCTCTCTGTCTCTCAAAAATAAACATTAAAAAAAAGAGAGAAAATAAAGCAACAGCAATGCATTTGTTTAAATAGTAATAGTAGCCATCATTTAGAACCATGTATTAGATGGCTAGTGTCTAGTCATCTATTAACAAATTAACAGATTAGATTCTGTTTTACACTTAATGGCTGATGTTTGCCTCCTTTCAATGTGTCCGTCACTCACTATTCTTAAGGCCATCTGTTGATGTATTAAAAACTACTTATTTGATAAGAATAGCCAGTGAGGACAAGAAACAGACCACTGTGTTCACATAGTGGACTAATTTCCCAGTGGGCATTGAGACTCCTGTGCTATATTGAAGTCACAATGGTTTCCTGATAGTAGATGGTAAAGGTTTTTTTAAGTGTTGTTACTTGACAAATCCTGAAGCTTGCCGTGCTGTGTTAGTGCTGCATTTGTAGCCGGTACCACCACCCCCTTCCGATAGTCTTCATCTGGCTCACGTAGGAGCTTCTGTACTGGAGGGCAGCACCCTACGGATTCCGCGGTGGCCTCGAATAAGCAAAAGCTTTTTCTTTTCTTTTTAATTTTGCATTTATTTAAGTAATCTCTACACCCAACATGGATCTCGAAGTCACAAACCTGAGATGAAGAGTTGCATGCTCTTGTGACTGAGCCAGCCAGGCAATCCGAGCAAAAACTTTTTAAATGCATTCTGGGTACGTTTGTGAAAACATCACATCGCTCTGTTAAAATACATACCTATTTGGCAATAGTAGCAACCTTTCACTGTTTGTAGTTTGACTTGATAGTGACCGGATCCCTCAGGCCATGCTTCAAAAAATTGCACTAATTGCTGCATACAGAATAAAAATCAAAAGCATGTTGCTTAGGAAATAATACAATTAGTAGTACATTCGATTTTGCTATAAATTTAACAGTAAAGTACAACCATTGAAACTAGGGAGTCAGCATAACCATAACGTTAATAAGTGATAGATCACTTCTACCACATTGGAAATAAAATTGGTTGCTTATGAAAATAACTTTCAGTCAACTCAAGTGGCTCTGCAGGTCTTTATGGCAGGATGCAAAAGACAGTGTAAAGCAGTGTGATTGCATCGATAGATGAGCTTCAGTCCCTGCAGTGTCCTCAAGTACTTCAAGTAACTAAGAAGACAGCCTCATTTTAAGTCAAACCAAGGCAGAGGTCTCATTCAAGCACCTTACTCAGGGCTCCAGAAAGCAAAGTGGTCCTAGTCACCACGAAGCCACTTTCACTTTTAATATTCAGAGAATCAAATTTTAACTGAAATAATGGATCATTTCTATAACTGAAATCAAGGAGTACTCACAGTTCAGGCTCTCTTGCAGTAAAGGAGCAGAGCCCCAAGCTTCCCTAAACACAGAGACTCTTCTTTATGTGTCAGCTGGGTTCTCCATCCGGTGGTGGTTCACTTGGTTGAGGTTGTCTTTTTATATATTTGCATGTGGTAATCAGGCTGTTTCCCCACCACCACCACCCCTTTTCTTTCTTTTTTCGATATGATACCCCTCTGAGTCCTTGTAGAAATGTTAACAAAGAAAAAAAAAAAAAAAGCCAGCCCACCAGCATGCAGCAACTTCATGTTTAAGGTCAGTCAACATTCCTTTAGAAGATTTTTTCTATGCATACCTTTCACCTTGGCAGTTGTAGGAAGTTTTCCCTTATCCTCCCCAGATAAAGAAGTTTTATGAATTCTAAGCAGAAATACACATTTTCTGTTTTTCCTAATAAGTGATGCATAATATGCATTGCATTTGCTCTTTCTTTCAGGATTCACTTTAGAAATTAAGCTATTCACAGAAAATGGCGTTCCCGTATTGAATTCTCCTAACATCAGTAACGAATTATTTTATTCTTTTTTTTTAAGTTTTGAGTTTTTTTTCAACTTTTATTTGACCTGTACATTATTTTAGTGTATTTTCATGCATACCCTGAAGATCTTGGATTTATTTTCTAAAACAGTCTTACAATTTTGGACGAGATGAGATTTGGGATCGTATTCTCCCCTTCTTATCACTGTGACAGACTCTCCCAAGTAAATTGACATATCTCCTATCTTCTACAGAAAATAATGAAGGAATTCTGCAGTTTTTGTTTTGGTCCCAATCCAATATTTAATGACTGTCTATCTCTGTAACTGCTGGCCTTGCAGTTTCATGGCATTTCCCTTTTTTTGTTGTCATCTGAAACGAAAGATTAGTTTTTATCCTCCCCATAATTGTCACCGTGCAGCTTTACTTATGCTAAATAACATTTAACTCACTGGGCTTTATCTAACATTCTAATTATATCTGGGTACTTACACGCTTCTGAACCCGTATTCTCCAGAGCTTTTGCTTTGTTATGACACATGGGACAGAATATTTTTAAATTCTAGAATGAAAATACTTTGTAGCTTTTACTTCCCCCTTAGAACTCCTGAGAAGGAAGATTACTGTGTTGGTCGGGCAGGAATTTCATGTGTGTGCGGTTAAAAAAAAAGTGTAATATTAAACTTGCTATCTTAACAATTTTTAAACATACAATCCAATACTGTTAAGTATATTTATATTGTTGTGCAGCAGATCTCTGAAACTTTTCATCATGCAAAACTGAAACTCTGTCATCACTAAATACTAATTCCCTTTCCCTGCCCTTGGCAATTACTTTTCTATTTTATATGATTTTCACTAATATAGATCATTCATTTGAGTGAAATGATACTGTATTTCATTCTTTTATGACTGGCTTTTTTCATTTAGCATAATATTCTCGAGGTTCCCCCATGTCATAGCATGTGACAGGACCGCCTTCTTTCTCAAGCTGAGTAATGTTCCATTGCATGTGTGTATCTCTCGCATTTTCTTTATCCATGCATCTGTCAGTGGACATTTGAGTTGCTTCCACCTCTTGGCTATTGTGAATAAAGCTTCAGTAAGCGTGGCTATGCAAATATATTTTGGCAGAATTTTTTTTATGACTTAAATAGGTGTTTATCTATTAGCATTCTATTTCACTAAATCTAGCATAAATCTTTTTATATTATACTAGCAACCTTTCCACACCTAAGCCTCCCATTTCAAAATACTAACCCTGTTTTCATCTTCAGTGCCCTGGTGGCCTTACTATGACCAGATTTCAGTGCACATACGGTCCCCAACTTACAGTGGTTCAACTTCAGATTTTTCGGCTTTGCAGTGGTGCAAAAACCATGTGTGCTCAGCAGAAACCGCACTTCAAATTTTGATCTTTTCCCAGGCAAGCGATATGTGGCGCCAGCAGTGTTGCCGGCAGTGGTGGTGAGCTGCAGCTCCTGGTTGGCCATACTGTCTCGAGACTCCACAACCGATACGCTTACAACCATTGTATACCCATGCAAGCATTCTCTTTTTCGCTTTGGATATAGTATTCAATAAATTACATGAGAGGGGCGCCTGGGTGGCGCAGTCGGTTGAGCGTCCGACTTCAGCCAGGTCACGATCTCGCGGTCCATGAGTTCGAGCCCCGCGTCGGGCTCTGGGCTGATGGCTCAGAGCCTGGAGCCTGTTTCCGATTCTGTGTCTCCCTCTCTCTCTGCCCCTCCCCCGTTCATGCTCTGTCTCTCTCTGTCCCAAAAATAAATAAAAACGTTGGAAAAAAAAAATTAAAAAAAAAATAAATAAATAAATTACATGAGATATTTAGCACATTGTTATAAAATATGCTTTGTGATAGATGAGTTTGCCCAACTAGAGGCTAACGTAAGCGTTCTGAGCATGTTTAAAGTAGGCTAGGCTAAACTATGGGATTTGGGAGATTAGGTGTATTAAATGCCATTTTCAACTTATGATATATTCTTTCCTTTTAATGTTTATTTTTGAGAGAGAGAGACAGAGACAGACAAAGTGTGAGTGGGGGAGGGGCAGAGAGAGAGGGAGGCACAAAATCTGAAGCAGGATCTGGGCTCCAAGCTGTCATCACAGAGCCTGGCGCGAACCCACGAACCGTGAGATCATGACCTGAGCTGAAGTTGAACGCCCATCCGACCAAGTCAACCCAGGCACCTCTCAACTTAATGATATTTTCAACTTATGATGGGTTTATAAGGACATCACCCCATTGTATATTGAGGAAGATCTGTAATCTTTTTCTAGTTCTTCCTTTACATGAGCTTTTTCCTATTCATTCTGAGCTTTCTACTTTCTGTCTCTGTTTCCTCTTCCTCCTTTGTTGGTATCTTAGCCTGTTATTTATATACAGAAAAGCATAAATAAATGGATACATTTGTCTGGTACCATCTATCACTGATTACCACCATCTTCTCTTTATCTAAGTCCCAACCCTGGTTAAGTTCAGCCCACCACCTACTCCAGACCTGAACCTTGCTGGTTAACATGAAGACTACTAGGTACAAACACGCAGTCATGTTGATGGGTCTCTCTTCACGTTCATGACCACAAACCTCAAGTGGGCTCCTGTGTTGCCACCAGTCCTGCTGTATTTCCTTAGTGTGGTGGTTCTCAGAACATGGCTTCCAGACCAGTAGCATCAACATCACTCAAGAACTCATTAGAAATGCATGTTCTTGACCTCACCCCAGACCTTATGAATCCATAACTCTGGGCATGGAAGCCAGCAAAGCTGTGTGATTCTGATGCTGACGTTTGACAACCGTTGCCTCAGTCAGTTCATTCTCCTGTTCTTTGAAAGTACTTTTTCATACCTTCCCTCTTCTCAAAGTGCCAACAACCCCCTCTCCTGCCCCAGTCCTGCCCAATGATCACTTTTATTTCAAAGTAAATAGAAAACAGAAGTACAGTACTCAGAGAACTTCCTCATCTTCCTACATGCCCATCTGCTTGCATCTACAGGTGCTCCCGGACCCTGGCTTCTTCACTGGTGCAGGGGCCAACCCCTCTCCCTACTTGCACACTACAAGTCCCTTCTTTCTTCTGGGGTCATTTTTTCCCCTCCACAGTACCTTTCCCATCAGCATACAAATGTCTCTCTCTCAAAGACCAAACAAAAACAAACCTCCCTGAAAATCTGCTACTGCTATGGAGCCAGCTATCGGATATATTGTTATGTGAAAGTTTTGATACTTATATGTATTTTCTTATTTTCAAAAAAGATAACAATGGAAGGATAAACAAAAAACTAGTGCAGATACTTAGCAAAAGAGGAAGGAGAGATTAAGGGGAAGGAGAAGGTACAAAAGCTAGACCTCTCTGAATGGAACTTGTTTACAGTTTTGATTTTGGAATGATGTACATGTTTTATATAATCACAACACCAAATCAAGTCAAATGTAGTCAAACAACTTGGCCTCATTGTATAACACACTGAAAACATAACCACAAGGAGAATTCTTTTAAGTGACTTGAAAATAGGGATGGGGGGGAGTGCCTGGGTGGCTCAGTAGGTTGAGCATCCAACTCTTGATTTTGGCTCAGGTCATGATCTCACAGTTTGTGAAATTGATCCCTCCATGAGGCTCTGTGCTGACAGCATGGAGCCTGCTTGCGATTCTCTCTC